TGAAGACATCTGTCCACAGAAAACCATCGTGGAGTGGGCAACTGACAAACTTCCATAGTTGGATACTTGTGAGTTCATCATCTCATCGACACACTGTTTGAAAAGAATTTGTGGCATTGACTGCTTAGTAGAAGAGACCTTATTTCTCAAAAATATCCTAGTAGAAAATGGATACCCGGAACATTTCGTGGAGAAGAACATGAAACCAACGCTTAAAAGAGAAGAATGCACTTCAATACACCAAAACAACAACACTGTATAAGGATCTTGAACTTCAGGAGAAACTTAGAAGCAGATATTTTTTTAAAGAGGAGAATCTTTAGCTCCCTAAAGACCTTTCCTACAGAAACATTAAATGTAATATTCTCTAGCCGCTCACTGCTTATTAGCAATGTGAGGGACAAACTTGTACATTTGACCACTCCAATGGGCATATATCAGTTCACTTTCTCCTGGGGAGATAGGTACATAGGTCTTTAATACGTGTTATAGGACATCGCTTAATGTGGCTGCAAAGAGGAGACACTAGTTCAGTCAGGAGCACCATAAATGAACACCTCACCAATACCTGCCACAGCATCTTAACTGACCTATCATTCACAGTCATTTACAAAGTGAGCAAACATCTAGCAAAGGTAGTGTATTTGCGACTGCTTTTTACTGCAGAAGCCATCAACATGTACATCAAAAAGGCAGGACTGTGTATTCAAAAAAAAAATAGTCCAAACTCTACATTTACCATGGATCTAGATCTGTGTGACTCCTTAGTTTTCGCTTTTCTTCATTTTATCATCTTTAGTGATAAAACGTATTACTTCATCTCGTTCACACTTGTCTTTGTTATGCAACTATTTTCTAATCTATACCATTTCGTTTCTAAGCTCCTTGTAATTTATGTTCATACATTCAAAGTTTTATATCAAGTTGAAAATGATTACCACCTTTAACCTCCTTTGTTATCATTGTGTGGAATTGAATAATACTTTTTATCTTTGTAACCTTATGCATATAAATACGATTATACAACTTTTGAGAATGAAGCCACTGGGATGATATTTTTGCTGGGCTTCTTGTCCTTTTCTCTTCAAGAAAAATAAACAAACTGATAACAGATTTAAGAATGAGAAGGATAGTAATCAACATTACTGCTGGCAGGATATGTTTAGATAAGAATTACTAAGGTATTTGTGACAATAAATTGTTTTTTAATTCAATTTTAGATTTTCCCGTCTATTGACTGGACCGATGTGCTCGATCTCAGGTTGACATGTCGGCTTCTTGTGCATATGCTTCAACGGTGTCTAGGCGTGTAATTAGAAGTTAATTGGTGGATGGTGACTAGCGGTGGGATCCAGGATGCGCATTTCGTCCCATCTGGGACTCATCTGCCAGCTGGATGTGCCTGCATTCTGGAGTCAGTGATGATGTTCCCACCAAGGCTCGAGGCTACTACCCATAGGTGGCTCTCATGTCCCAAGTGGCCTAGTGAATAACGCTTTGGCGTTTGAAACTATGGGTGCTGGGTTGAAGCCTAGGTGGGAACATCATCACTCACTGGGAAATGCAGATACATCCAGATGACGAGTCCCAAATAGGACGAAATGCGCATCCTGGATTCCACAGCTAGTCACTATTCACCAATTAAATTCTAATAAATTGTTTTTGTATACATAGGTGGAATAGAGGGCTTAATTTTGCAGATAGCTATCGCCTCAGCCTATTCCAATATACTCTCCTAATGGTTTTTGTGGACAATCATGAAAGCTGTTTTGATATCAGTCTTATGATTTAGATCAATCATGTATTGTGCTACATAGGCGGCTGATAGTCTGCCACTTGCTCGTTGCTGAATTGACGGTAAAAATATATAAGGGTAAGAAACAAATGGAAAGTGGGATTACAGCTGAGATGAATCTTTCACCTAACTTAGTGCGCTCTGAAATTCAATTGAAGTTTTTCAAACGCTTGTGTAACTCAAATGAATATATTGATTACGTAATCGTTACATTTTATTTATGTGGACAAGCAGGATTAAATACGAAATTAGAAGAGTATTCAATAAATGCGACATCAGAGTTTTCTTCAAAATATCAGGCACACTGATATAAAGCAATCTTGTTCATGTGAAAGACTGAATTCCAAATGACTTGCAGTCTAACTGTGTCTATAAAAAAATAAAACGCTTGAAATATGATGTGATATATGCACCGACCAAACCTTGTCAGAGATCAGGTTAATAAGAAAACGAACACCAGAGAGTCTCTATTCTGCCACTGAGAAATCAGATGAACCCAGAAAAGCTTGAAAATTCATAAGCCGTAGATCTACATACTACAGAATTACAGTACAAAGTTGATTTTGATAATATCGAAATCATTCAGAAAAGTTTGAGAAACCCCAAAAAAACATAAATACCAAGACAAGAGCGATTCACTCTAAAATGATATCCAAATTGTCTGAGTAGAAATGACAAGTTAAAACAGAATTCGTTCTGATTTCAAACCAACCAAACCTGATGTGTTGTGGTCTGAACGCTGCAAATCAATCTTCGCCTCCTACTGCATATCTAACCAAAACTTTCTCCAGCTACTCATAGTCACAAAATGCTCCAACGACAACAAAAATAAAGTTATTTGAAGTCAATTCTACGGTACTATTCAACCTCAACAACGCAGTTAGGCAGCTATGCAGATCAAATTAAATCTCAGATATAAAACAAGCATTATAGAACAAAATTATTTAACCCAAATTCAACCCTAAGAAGCACTTGAGAATGAAGTGGAATATTCCCGACAAGTTGGGTTCGAAACTCTCTTAACAAGAATCCCAAGCTTCTGTGTATTTTGATTTCATAATTTTTATAAATCAAGATCTCACTTTGGAAACTAACTTACAACTTACACAGTCCTGGGGTGGGGATGAAATTTAGCCACTTTGGAAACCAAAATCATTGGAATAACAGTATGAAATCTTCTTAATACCATGAATGGTAATCCATCCAGTGGTTAGGACTCTCGCCGACCATGCACATGGTCCGGGGTTCGAGCCCACGCCGGCGCACCCCTGGTATCTATGGTCAGCCTGCAAAATTTGGGCTACCGATATCCATGCTGAAAATTCCATACTTGTACCAAAAATACAGTGTGGAATCAAGCTGTAAATAAAAAAAAATAAAAAAAATATGACTGGATAAAACTATGTACTACTGATTTTGATGTGGTTGTATTCTCTGAGCTGGATAGTTAATTTGCGAAGCTTTATCGCCCTACTAGGCAACATCTCCAGTGCATACTTCAATTTGCTGAAGTGAGCTTTTTAGATTTCTCCACGAGTTTACTAGTCATCTCTCCCGGTGGGTGACCTTGAACGCCATGATTGGTTGTTTTTGTGTGTTTTAACACCTTCTACGCTACTTGTATTGCAACTGATTGTTTCTTTGACTTAAACTTTGACCCTTTGTGTGTGAGATATCCTTCTAATCGATTGGTAAATTTTGTCCATCTTGACGTGTCTATTGATAGACGATTCACTGGAATACAAGGCTAGGTATCTTGAAATTCTGTAGCATTCTTGATGTTTCCTCTGTCTAATAATTGAACCTTATCCCAGCTGAATGAATGTCTGTGGTTGTCTGTATGCGCTGAGGCGATATGAGGCAGTGGATGTCATGTCTTTTGATGGCTAGCTTATGTTCATGAATACGGAGACGAAGGGGAAACCCGTCAGTCAACGGATTCATACATCAGACGGCCGTTTGGAGCTGAGTTTATCAGCCAGCCAGAAATCTGGCGGTTGGAAATGATTCACCGCCTATGAGTTGAGTCAAATCAGGTACACGGCTAATAAACTCGACTAGAAACAAGTGAAACAGCCGTCCTACGCTTAGATCACTTCTACAATCTGGCTAGTAGACACTACTGATTGATGTGAGTAGTATACAAACTACTGGACTAAATCAATCAGTAGTATGCATGTGTATACAATCATAATTTTGAAGCGAAGAGTTACTTACACTCTATGACTACACTGAAAATATCAAGTAATATATTATTTGATATCGTGTATGAATCCGTTGACTGAAGGCTTTTCGCTTTTGCCTTCTTTCTTCTTTCTTTCACTTCTCTAAAATTCTTAGACAGATGGCTAGCAAAAGAAAGGGGAAAACATTTTATTTTTTGTTTTTAGTCGGGGTTGATTTTAAGTAACTCTCTAGTTTGCAAAAAAATAGGAGCATTTAATTAAACAATATATATATATATATATATATATATATATATATATATATAAAATTACAAAATGAAACTTGAATTTCTCAATTCAACTTTATATGCTCATCTTATTCGTTTGCATACCATCCCACCAATGATGAACTGATCATCACCTCAGATAGTCTATAGAGGAACATACGCGCACATGCACACATGCACACACACACACACAAGTAGACACTTCTTTATATAAGGCAGAGAGAGAGAGGCGGATGGATATATGTATGAGGAGTATGAGGCCAGCTTTATCCAATCACTTTTAGAATGGAGACGAATACGACAAGTGTAATAAACTCACGTCGAATAAAACAAAAATACAACTAATTCAAATATTCTTTACCAGTATAAAGTGATAGTTAATCCAAAAATAAAAGGAAAGATTCATATTCAATATCACTTGTTTATATAAATGAAATATCATTGTTATACTACTTATTTAAATACTCTTCTACAAGTAGTATGTGTTGTTTTGCTTGAAAAATTTAATGTTATCTTCAGTGAGGCATCAAAATCACAGATATTAGAAATACAGAGGAATAATAAGAGTATATCATCAGAATTCTATGTTGAAGAGTATCCTGATGACAGTTTACCACATTCCCATTGAACTTTCCAGAATATACTCCTAAAGGGAAGAGTATTCGTCAACCTCGACAATCTGTAAAGCTGAATACTTTAAATAATAATAACAAAATCACTAACTGTCAATTACAATTGGAATGTTCTACTGACATGAGAAATATTGATGACAAACAAATGTCTATTATGAATTTTTCAACTAGTCATATTACTGGTCGTATACGTATCCCTGTGAGAAGTGGTAGAGGGCCGGCTGGTCCGCCTGGTCCACAAGGTCCACCAGGACCACAGGGAGCAAGAGGATTTCGTGGTCCACCAGGAGAACCAGGCAGTTTACAAGGTGAGTCACTTGTTGACTTTGTGAATATGCTTGTAATATTAGACTAGCTTATTTAATTTAAAGTGTTATTCTGGCTTGCTTTCTTGAGTTCTGAGTCTGATATAGGGCTTTCAAATGTGAAGTTTCAGTAATATTGGTGTTTGTTGGCTTGACACCTAATCTTCTTTCCTTTGTAGTCTAACTATCGGCTAGGTTAGGCTAGGCGAGATTTAAGAGTGAGTCCGCCGGGAATTGAACTCGGACATGAAGAGTTACTAAATATTCCTATTTTACAGAATGTATTTAAAATAGAACTATCAGTAATTTAACACTGATTATAGTATGAAATGTGCTCAAACGGTAAATTTATTTTTACAAACAGCTGTTCTGGTCAGTTTTTAGCCTGTCCCACATAAATGGATCAATACTTGTAGTAAGTGTAACGAGCGATAAATTCTGGCAATTCATTCTCAGATTACCGTGTGTTCCCTTTAAATTTGTGAATTCGAAATAACTAAGGTTATCATTATAAGTGATCGTTAATTACATAAGTTATCAAAGATCACTTCATACGAAAATATATTTGGTTTCCAGTCAACTTATTAAATTGATATTAGGGGACATCCTTCTGTGATGAAACTAACTGCCAAACAAATGCAGTAGTAAAGGGAGCATTTCCTTCGGACTTCATTCCAAATCTATATAAGTAAGAGAATGATTGAAAACCACAGATCATTGGATAAATGTCTCGTCTTGGGATAAGACTATTCAGCCATGCTGACTGACTAAATCACCGTGAATCAAAACCAGGACCTTTGGGTTGTCTAGTGATCCATCCAGTCTATGAGTTAGGATCCGACAGATCATGATAACTTATTTCTGATAATTCACGAAATAGTCCTACTGTCATATAAAGTCATAAGTGACTTCTCCTGATCACAATTGACTTGGTAGACTTCATTAGTCACGACTTCTCGTTTGAACTTCAAGGAAACGATCTTAGAATAATTCATAAATAACCAGTAAGTTAATATCCAGCTAATTGATTTGTGCAGCCTTTGTTATTATTAAACTGAAATGACCTTAGTAAATTATCCCCTTATCAAATGAGTACACATCGTAGGACTTGAAAAGTCGAAATATAGTACTTTGATTGTGTTCGGAGACATGGTGTTGAATTAGAAAAAAAAACAGTATATTGGTATTTGTAGTCAGATGACGTATTTACATACATTGTGGGTACATGGCAACAGAAATCAAATATGAAAGTTCACAATAACACATACATTTCTGACACTAAATGCTTAGCAAAGTGTATTTTCTGGTATTTCTTAAATTATGGTGCATTAATAATTGAAACCAGTTCTAATTCGTGTTATTCTGTGTTGCTGTTTCCAACTTCTTCGCAAATAGAGTCAAACATAAGGTTTCAAACTTTGAAGTTCCAGTTGTGTTAGTGTTGTTTTAAACTCGGTGGGAATCTTAGCCTTACACTTAACCTTGCCTCTTTGCCCAGTATGTTACCGGCCAACAGACTAAACTGAGCTTAGAAGTGCATCATCTGAGAATTAAACCCAGGCCATGTGCCTGATTGGCGGGCATCCTATTACTGAAGCACCAATGCGTCTTTTATTGCATAAAAAACTATTATTCTGTTACATTTGAGGAGTTGAAGATACTTTTAACTGGTATAAGTCAAAACCACCTCGTCCTACACTGTTATGCTGTTTTCTGTAAAGACTAAGCGTTACTGATGTACAGTTGTTGAAATCTGCTGATTTGATGCAACTCAACTTTTCAAGTGTTTCATTAGTTTTAATAAGCAAAGATTAGTGTGAGTCTGGAAGGAATACTGCTTATGCTTTATTTAATTTAATAACCGATAAGATTTCGTTCAATAATTCAAGATGACGTAGTCCCTAAATCCAGTTCTGTTTAACTATACAGTTAGGTTAGACAGGAACTTTAACTGGTTGGTTCAGATGTAGAGAAAGGGAGATTTATCACTAAAATGACACTTTCCTAGAGTGGATTTGATCTCTCAGTAACGTGAAACTTTAACAGTATATGATAACAGATTATTAAGGAGTCATTTATTATTTGTATAGCTCTGTATGATTATGTATCCAGTGATATCCAGTGTAAGGTATAGTTGTTTTTAGGATTCATGAATAATCCCCATCCAGATATTATTAAGCAAATAAGACGAGTAGTTCAGTGGAGATGCTTTTACCAACAATTTCATTTTCTTAGCTATGCAAAGGAGGAGAGTAAAAAAAGTAATGAGTTGTGGCAATCATAGTTGTTAATACCAGTCAACACATAAGACTAGATGTATCTTGTCTAAAAGATTTCAAGGACATTATCCTGCATAGTTGCAAAAAAGTAACAATTGCTCTATACAGAATGCCATAACTGAACATCATGTCAACACTCTTCATTCTCTCTCAAAATACTCCACCTTCAAAGTAATCTACAGAGTGAAGAACAACCTACTAAGGGCAATACGCTTTCATATCGTTTGCATTGGCGTCAGTGGCACAGCGACTGAATGCTCGCTAACCACGCCTCGTGTGACCAGGGGTTCGATCCCCGAGCGACTCACTCCTTTACCTCATTAAGCTAGTATTAAAATTGGTGAAAAGGAAGGGTTAGACATGAGGCTAGCAACTCCATTCCGTAAAAATACTCATCAATGTTACTGAAAATTCAAAGCTCTAGCTTGAAGCTCTCTGTTCCATTGGGAACGTAAAGCAATAAGAAAAATTCAAAAAACTTATGATGTTATGGTAACTACCAACTAGATCTTTTTAAACTCCTTATAACTCTTGTGTTAGTTACTTCCTAACTCTTATGTGATACTACATTTCCCCTGGTTTCTATATGCATCTTGATTACAATTCATTCACTGAATTATTTACCTCATTACTTAACCCTAACATCCTCAAATAAATTATAATTATATTTAAATATCTTACCCACACTTATATCCTCTTGTGTGTTGATTAATATTAATAACTATGATTATGATAACTCATTTTTTATTCCTTTAAGTTCCCAGTGTTCCATAGGGTTTCAAGCTGGTAGCAGTGATGTTTATTTTTACGGGATGGGGTTACTAGCCTCACACCCAACATTCCCTCTTTACCAGTCATATTACTGGCTTAGTGAGGCAAAGGAGTGCGTCGGTTGATGAACTCCGGACCATATGCATGGTCGGCGAGTATTCTATCGCTGTGCCAACGACCCACACATGTCAACTCATTTCTTTTGTTAATGTCCTCCTTCATGAAAAAAGTTATATACAAATGCGATTGTACTGCTAAAAATAGAATGGATTCACCGAGAAGAGCTTCTCTGAGTCTCTGAATTCTATTCAACAGTGAATTTCATTCTGATCGTTTAATACTGACTGCACTAGACATACTTTCACACCTATGTATTTACAGTGAACTGATTTTTAAATGTATCTGAATAAGGACAGTATTGTTTGTAAAGCAAATTATCTGGTTTGATATTCAAGTTTGTTGTTTAACTGAGAAATCTTCGGAGGAGGTTATCCAGAAGAATACTCTTTCCAAATGATAAGATTAATGAGTTCATTCCAGACAGTGATTTTCATACTATGTGGAATTCTCTTCATTCAGTACAATATTGTGTCTAATTTTCTCTTTATATAGTACGGGAGCAAGTAATAAAACAGGACATTTACCTCAATAATACTACTTAATAAGAATATGAATATAAAATTAAAATCAATCCGTCATCAACTCGTAAAAAAACAAAACTAATCCTAATAAACCAACTATAGAAAACTAATCTGATGCTCGCTAGTGATTTGCTACAGGATGGAGTTTCCTGAAGTTCTAGTGAGAAGTCATGACCAGTGAGGTCCATCAAGTCAAGTGTGAGGATGGAGTTCCTATTGATGACATTCGTTGGTGGTCACGCTAAATCACGAATTGGTAGAAGCTAGAATTCATGTTTTAGTCATTGAACCGGGTCCCACTAGCTGAATGGTATACGAGCTAGCTTTCCTTGTAGCCAGTAGGTCTCAGGTTCGAAATCTGGTGGTGGGTGCGTACTGCAGATGATTCCGAGGTACTAAGATGAAACACCTGTCCAGTACTCTTTGGGGGTTTTCAATGATTAGAGAACTATTTAGAGAACTGATATCAATCCATGATCAACTCGTAAAACAACAAAACTAATTCTTATAAACCAACTATAGGAAATTACTAGTGTTTACTTAGCGTTTCTCAGTAAATTAGTAGTGTTATTGCCTTACATCTTTCTCGTCATATAAAATGAGTGCTGTTTAAGATACCGTAGAGTTCTTGTACTTAGTTGTCCAAGCATAAAGTTTTCTATAGTTGCTTCTATCCCTATCTGACGAGATAGATGCAACGGGAGAGTTGTGTATAGAAAGGATCTTTAGGGTGTGACAAGAGAATAGTTGCTGATTTCTTGTAAGAATTCACGTATCTATCTACAACGGTATCAACGAGTTGGTATCGTGACGCCTAACTCTCCCTGCTGACGGCTTTTAGTGCCCTCCGCAGTGTAACAAAGTCTTTGTTAAGTAGCAGAGAAGAAGAATAGACAGAATACAAGAATTAACAAACAGTGACAGTAGACACTAAGCGATACCAAATCGTCTTAAATTCCTTACGCAGAATGTTAGAGGAAACATCTTTCAAGAGGTTAACATGATGGTGGAAAACCAGGTATTTCTAACATTCGACTTAGTTTCACCTTCAATGCCAACTATGATAGTAGAATAATGCGAACGAACCAGTTCATGTAAGTCACGCTTGTATCTAAAGGTGAAATTACCACTCTGACTTTTCGACTGGTTTAGCCTGAAATTATCTGACAAAGACCACTGATTAATTTTGATAAAGTTATTCATTTTGAAACAGTCTAATTGAGAAGTAACAGGCATATGAGCAGTCAGATCACTGGCATACTTAACAAAATTGGCATCATCAGAATGGGCCAAGGCATCGAAGAAGAAAGAA